CCCAGGCTGGAGTGCAGTGGCCTAATCACAGCTCATTGCAGCCTTGTCTTCCCTATCTCAAGCAATCCTCCTGCCTCCGTCTCCGAAATCGCTGGGACTAAAAGTGTGCACCCAGCTTATTTTCATCCTTTTTGTAGAGTCAGAGTTTCACTATGTTGTCCAGGCTGGTCTCGAACTCCTGTGCTCAAGCAATACAATCGCCTCAGCCTCCAAAAGTGCTAGGATTACAGGCATGAGCCACCACCGTGCCCAGCCACCTTTAACTTTCTACACATGGCAAAATGAATATGCTTTTTGCAGAATACAAGAGTACATATTTGTGCACCACTGCTATCTTTCTGAGTTGTGGACACCAAAAAGCTGCTAACTATAATTAACTGTTATTAGAATTTATGGATTTTTTTCCATGAACACACACACAAAATCTTAAAATTATTATTATGGAAGTGCTTATTTTTTCTTTATTTTAGAAAAAATGTAAAATACAGTTAGATGGATATACAAGTGTACATTGAAAAAAATATGTTTTTGACGTCTATAATCTAAACTTCTTTACCCTTCAGATTTCACTACAGTCACCTTCTCTAGGCAATCTTTCCAGAGTCCATCTTCCAACTCATTCACTCCTCAGTCAGAGGGCACTGATTCTTCTGTTCAGATCTACTCAGATCCTCCAGCCCCTACACACGCACACACCTTGAAATGACCCCTAATTGCAGAGGTTATAGGGCTGTGGGAAAACTTAGTCACAGGAGAAATTTCTTTGAAGTCTCACGATTTATCTTAAAAAATGCATGCACATTATATGTTTCTGTTTGCTTTAAAGTGAATGTAATATTTTGAAAATCATTACCTTTACAATAATTAAAGCTCTAGGAAAGCATTCGAAAGCAATCTGAAAGGCTTCCGTATGTCTGGAATATCAAAAAGGACAGCAAATTACTCTCCCATAGCACCTGTAGCCCTGGAAGGCACTTGCTGGTGTAGGTGAGGGGTCGCCCTCTTTCAGATTGTTTCACGTCATCTAACTTCACCATCCCAATACCTGACACACTGCCTAGCATACAGCAGGCACCCTTAAATGAATGCATCAAAAGATACTCTTCAGGAATAGATTTTTGGGGTGAAGTAGGGCATACTGCTTAGTAGAAAGGAATAATTGTGGTATTTTGGAATAGGGTAACTAGAAAGTTAACCAACCTTAAACAGAATTAAGATATGCAAGTATGTAAGATTTGCCTTTTGATCTCCTATTTTTTCCTCTAGATGCCTAATCTGTACCTCACCCTATCTTCACAGCATTACATCAAACTCCCATTTCATCCAGGCCTGGTTCTCAGCTCAAGGACAGGACATGTTAAATCAACTCAAAACAAAACTTTAATAGCATATCACAATGTGTGTATATATATTCACTCTGTTGCCCAGGCTGGAGTACAGTGGCACGATCCCGGCTCACTGCAACCACCGCCTCCCGAGTTCAAGCAATTCTCCTGCCTCAGTCTCCCAAGTAGCTGGGACTACAGGCACAAGCCACCATGCCCAGCTAATTTTTTGTATTTTTGGTAGCAATGGGGTTTCACTGTGTTAGCCAGGATGGTCTCGAACTCCTGACCTCATGATCCTCCCACCTCAGCCTCCCAAAGAGCTGGGATTACAGGTGTGAGCCACTGCACCCAGCCGATATTTATATTTTAAAAGAAATACCTCCCTTTAGTACACAAATATGGTGGTATTACTTCATGCACAGAAAATAGGCATGTTTCAAAGTTATTCTGTGGTGGCTCATACCTGTAATCCCAGCACTTTGGTAGGCCAAGGCAGGTGGATTGCTTAAGCCTAGGAGTTCAAGACCAGCCCGGGCAACATGACAAGACCCCGTCTCTACTAAAAATACAAAAAATTAACCAGGTGTGGTGGTGCACACCTGTAGTCCCAGCTACTCAGGAGGCTGAGGTGGGAGGATCACCTGAG